CTTGTTCAAGGAAAGCCCCTGGCGGGCCAGGCCGGTTTGTTTACCTGCCGTGTCCGCAGGTTCGGCCGATCGCGGCTCCCACTGGCCGCGGTTCGCTGTCCGAGGCCAATAGGGGTGGCGGGAAGCGGCGCGGGCCAAGGGATGTGCTGGCCTCCGCTTCCCGCTGCCCCCCATTGGCCTGGGATGGCGAACCGCAGCCAGTGGGAGCTGCGATCGGCCAAACCTGCGGACGCGTCAAGTAAACAAACCGACCCGGCCCGCCAGGCGCTTTCCCTTAACAAGCGGCGGACCGGCTTTGAGAACCACTGTTCTAAAGCACAGTGATGTTCTCCCCTATAAAATGCTTTTAAAAACTCCGTCAAATGTAACTCTGGATATTCTTATTGTCCATACAAATGGCTAATCCTTACCCTCAGTGATATCTTGTCACAATGAGCCTCAGAGGTTAATTATTAATTCACAAGTTAAGCACTGTATTTCCTTTTATTTGTTTTAACTGTGTTGCTTTTTGATTTCATATCTTGTTCTTGTATTATCAAAGAGGATGAACAGGAGCTCCTGATTTACCTTTTTTAGACTGGTCATTATTTTGTATACCTCTGTCATGTCTCATCTTACACCTCTGCTCTCCAAAGGAAAAAGTCCCAGTTTTCATTTTCTCCTTGTACAAATCTCTCGCCATGCTGCTAATGACTTTTAAGACCCATCCCTGAACCCCTTTCATTTCTGTCATGACTTGTATGAGGTAGAGTGACTAGAAGCTAACATAATATTCCAGAGAAGACTGCACCATTGATTCCCAAAATGGCATTACGCTATTTTCAGTATTATTTTCATCCCATTCTTTGTACTTTTTTAAACATTTATTTGCTTGTTTTGGGATCTGAGTGCTAGACTCTAGTTACAATTTACAGAGAATAATAAAATCAAGGAAGATCAACAGGAGAAGCAGATTAGAGATTTATTTAGCAAATCTTATTTCACGCTTTCCCTTCACCCCTCCCTGATATCTCCAGAAATTGGCTTATGCCCAGAAGTGTGAACTGTCTTAGCCTCTACATGTTGGTCAAGTCCAGGTCGCACTTTTTCAAGCCCATAATTTCTGCCACACTGAATTCCCTGGATTGACCACACCCCATGGGGAAGCAGTATTTACTTTTCTCTTTTAAATGTTAAGCTGTGGTTAATGATATTTAGTGTCTTTGGTTTGATCTCTTCCCCTCACTGTAGAATCATCTCTTCCTGGAGCCCATACATGTTCCCCTGGGGGAATTTTTCAGACCACGAAAGGAGGAAGTTGAGCAGCTGGATTCAAAAGATTTCCTGGGTAAACCCAAGGTAAGGCCCCCTAGGTTGCAGAAAGGTCAATCCTAGTGTAAGAATGTTAGCATGGTGCCCTGATGACTAAGGTCAGCAATGAGCAAACTAAGATCCAGGGTTCTCTACCAGCCACAGCACCGACAGCCTCCTGAGAGTAACATTGCTTGGGCCCTCTGCCAGCCACAGTGCCTGGGAAATATCAGCTGAGATTCTTTAGACCCTAAGTGCAATGGCTCCATTGTTAGGAACCAGTCTTTCAGGTTTTCCTTTGTCATTTTTCTAGCTTTGAGTGTTTTCCTACCATCTGTCCTTGCCTGGAGCAAGGTGAATTTCACAAGTGGAGGGGAATAATAAGGGCTCTGTTGGAAGCATTTTTGTCCATAAGGAAAGTGCTCCTCAGTGGTTGGGCTTTTTATATCCAGGAGAAATTTATTTGGAAATTAAATACTAAATAAATACCCAGCTCTTGTGTAGTACATTTTTTCTGAAGATCACAAAGTGCTTTACAAACATTAGTTATGTAACCCTCTCCTTCGCCCCCAGCAAAGTGAGGGTTATTGTGTCCATTTTACAGACAGGGAAACTGATGTGGCTGAAGTTACAGGACTGTTTGTGAGTGGAAAGATGTTGCAGGAAATATGGGTCATTTGGAACCTTACCATCTGCCTGTAGTAGAAGGTGGTGCATAGTTGCACTTCCTGAGGAGCAGAGCAGGGACCAAATAGTAACTAAGAGCTTTTCTTCACTGCAACAGTTAGCTTGATTTAATACACGCAACTGAGAGTGACCCCACTGCAAAACAACACTAAAATTACACAGAGTGATTGGATTAGCAGCACAGAATGAGGCTTGGTCTATGCTGAACAACTATGTCGGTCAAGGGCATGAAAAAGCACACCCTGTGTAGACACAGCTATGTTGAAGGAAGAACCTATTTCTGTTGACATAGCTAACGGTGTTTGGGGAGTAGGGTTCCTATACCGACAGAAGAACCTCTTCTGTCAGCGTAAGCTGCGTTTACACTATGGGGCTATGCTGACATAGCTATGCAGGATAGTCTCCGTAGTGTAGACGTATCCTGGTTGGATTAGCAGAGTGGATTAGCAGTTGATGAGTTGTTGTAATTTGAGTTGCTGCATACCTGCTGCATCAACCCACCCCCCCTGACAGGCCAACTCTCTCAAACTTAAAGTACCACTTAGCTCCAATTGGAGATTTGGGTGGGAGTCGGGCTGGGGCAACACTCAAGTTACACTCTTAGCACTGTAGTGAAGACAGACACAGTTTGGGCCCTGCTTCCCCCTCCCTTCTTGGGGAAAAGTCAGCTGCGCTAGCCTTCTTCCTGGCACAGCACACTTCCCCCTTTGAGCTGACTCAGCTGCACTGGCCGGCATGTTGCAGGGAGATGCCTACTGCCCACCCCTGCCCATTCACTCACTGCCCATGAGTGGGAATAGCAGCCTGGCACCCACTGCTTCTATACCTATCCCTATCTCCTAGAACTGGAAAGGACCTTGAAAGGTCATCGAGTCCAGCCCCCTGCCTTCACTAGCAGGACCAAGTACTGATTTTGCCCCAGATCCCTAAGTGGCCCCCTCAAGGATTAAACTCACAACCCTGGGTTTAGCAGGCCACTGCTCAAACTACTGAGCTATCCCTCCCCCCTCAACTACATTGCTACCTTCCAGATGAGCAACAAACAAAGGGCTTCTTTCCTTCCCTGCCCTGTGCCAATGCCCAGTGAGAGACACAATCTGGCCCTCTGTAAATAGAGCATGACTCCACACTGCTCTGTGTGATGATACCATTGTATCTTTGCTGCTTGTGAGCCTCTGAAAGTGCTCATCAGGTACTTAGGGAATCCTTGGTTTTGTCATTATGCTGAAAAATGACACTTTCAAGACAAGCAGGCTCACCTAACCAGTCCCACAGGGTTTGACCCTCTGAGCTGTAGCAGATTCCCACTTGTTGTGGGATGACTTTTTTGTTAATTGGTTAATGCCCTTGGGAGAATATTAGCAGGTCATCAGAAGATTTCTCTTCTCATTTCTGTGACCTCTGCACCCTTTGTGTAAGTGTCACAGGCCAGGAGCCTCTTGAGTGCAGCGCAAATGAATGGTTGTACTCTCAGATTCACCCACAGACATGTAGGGAACCAGTGTGGCAAGAGCTAGAAAACCAGGCCCCTGGAGTAGATGGGGTTACTGCCTGGACACAGCTCTGCACTCTCCATTGTGTGCAGTGACGTTTTGTTAAGCCCTGCCACTTGGTGCTAGGGACTCGCTCATGGGAAACCCAGGGTGAGTGGCTGATTCCCAGAGGTCTTGCTGTTCCTTCATGTGATCCAGAATCTGATCTGATCTGTCCTCTGGCAGGTGATCTCCTCCGTCATTCCCAATGACGAGTACATCGGATTTGAGCCTCTCAGGCCACAGGTGAGTGGGACAGTGCAACAACTGATGGTACTTGATTTATGCATGGCAAGGTCATGTAATGGCATCGCTGTCATATAGCTCCACTTAGGGTCCCCAGCCAAGGCATCCAACAGGATGAGAACCTGTCACGGACTTCATAATATTTTAGGTTTCAGAGTAGCAGCCGTGTTAGTCTGTATCCGCAAAAAGAACAGGAGTACTTGTGGCACCTTAGAGACTAACAAATGTATTTGAGCATAAGCTTTCGTGGGCTTATG